TGCAATTAAAGTGGCACACAGACCTACGCATACATTTTCATGACAGTTCAGAGGAGAAACAAAGTAAGGAGTCATCATCAACAGATACAGCAATCAAGAGAAAGAAAACTACAACAGCAACACCATCTTTATTTCAGTTTATCCTGATAAAATCGAGTTGTAGGGTTTACTTACAAGCAATGAAAAAACTTTCAGTATTGAAATGCTCAAACCTCACACCTGGAGAGACAGATACAGCCTGAAGGAAACATCTATCGCAGGTTTTATTCTTTAATTGCCAGATTTAAAAATGCAATCAAATAAAGTAGTAAAAGTAATCAAAAAGTAATCAGAGGTAGAAAGCTAACAACGTGCAAAAAAACTGCAGATGTGTCATCAAATTACAGATCACGGGGGACTAAATCCACAAAGTCTGAAAGAACAGGAAATTGCCATTTGAACAGTGAAGAAAAGGTTTCTTTTGTGGTTTTCTGAAGATGGTGTATTTTATGATATGCACTTGCTAAAAAGATAGACAAGCTCTAAAGGTTAGGGATTTATCAAATTTATTACATCAGTAAAATGTGACAAAACATGTGCATCTTCTCACCGTTTACCTCTTCCTCAGTTAAAACCTGTTAAACATAAGTGGATACGTAACACTTTAACTTTCAGTTAAGTACCAGTACAAAGAATATAAAAACAGTTTAACAGAAGTCTGACCCCACGAACCGTTTCAACATTAACTAGAACATAAGTTACACAAACTGTCTTTGTCTTTTCCCACTGACAATCTGTGTATCTTTAATGAACTGCAGTCATCACTCTGACCACTTCTTCTGAAGTTTAGTTTTAGTCTTTACTATCAGAAGCTGTTCTTGCCTGGTTCCTACACTTTTTCTGCAACAATTTGTTTTACCCAGCTTCTTGTTGCTTTAGCCTCCTATGCTGTAGTTTTTCATGTTCATTTCTGGCCACCCAGTGATTGGTTGAGATAATATTCAATGTTTGCTGTTTAATGCAGAGAGATTTCTTTTCATGCTGATCAGTGTAGATATAGTTCTGCTAACGTATATGTCATATAAGATCAGTTTTACAAGGTACGCCAAGAAAAGAGTATCCATACTCACCATAAAACCATATTACAGTAAAACTCAACCTCAACAGTAACCCTGATAGTACTGGGGGTGGGAGGGTGGGTGGGGGGCTGTTCTTTCTTTTCATTTATAAATACTATAATGAGTTCACAATGCCCATTTATGTTTGTATTCTTCACTGTAACAGATTGAATTTTATGGGGTAAATGCAGCATTTCACCCAGTGAAAAACATGCCTATGCAGCTGCCCAGGCAATGTGTGCATATTCTCGCCACATGAACCTGCTCTCATCTGTGAAAAGCACAGGTCGTCATTGGTGGACCTGCTAATTGTGGTATATTAAGGCAAATGCCAGTTGGGCTCCATGGTGTTGGGCAGTGAGCACAGGGCACAATAGAGGATTTTGTGCTCTCAGGCCACCCTCACAAAGTCTGTTTCTGATTGTTTGGTCTGAGACATTCACATCAGTGGCCTGCTGGAGGTCCTTTCGCAGCTCTGGCTCATCCTGTTCTTCCTTGCATGAACAATCAGATACGGTCCTGCTGATAGGTTAAGGATCTTCTATGGCCCTGTCCAGCTCTCCTAGAGTAACTGTCTCTTCCCTGGAATCTCCTCCATGCACCTCATTTTGTGCTGGTAGATACAGTAAACCTTCTGACAATGGCACATATTGATGCTCTGGTCCAGGTGTCATCGCATGCTACAAGCAGTTGCACTGACCCTAGCCAAATGCAAAACTACTGAACCAACATCCTAGAAGTTTAATGACTGATGCTATACCCTGATTAAAAAGTTTTCTTTTAATTTTTTTGAGTATTATATATCACTTGGTTCAATAACAATGTCTTATGTTAATTTCTGCTTTTTGTAACCTTGATCGCTCAGTGAAAGATAAGCCTACCCCTGTAGCATGTCCGTATGTGATGAGACAAATTCGATTTGGAGATGTATCTGTAAAACTTTTAAGAACTGAGGGACTGAATGTAACAAACCCAAAAACAGGCAGAATGAACAGTCACAGCAGATTTATTGTAGAACTCCAGTGATAACAATGGGTAGGAGTTAACTGCTCAGAGTTGCAGCTGGCAGTGTTTGGATTCACATGTGATGTGACAATAAAAGTGATTTGATTTGATTTGATTTGATTTGATTTGATTTGATTTGATTTAATTTGATTCAGCTGGTGGATGTGAATAAGAGAGATGGACAGGCAGGTGTGGTAGCTGATGATGTGAAGCTCTGGTACCAGACAAAGGATTTGATGCACAGGAACTAACAAAGACTCTTAGGAGGTCAGACAACAAAGCGACAACATTATAGAACTACAACTTGGCTGCAGTGTTGATACCATATTGACAAACTGAACAACTGAGTCAAGAGCAGGAGCTTGATTGGTGGATTAGTCTCATGTAATCAAGTGAATTGGCAGCATGTGTACGCCACATCCTGAAAACACACACACACACA